AATGAAAAAATTCTTCCAACATGCCTTTGGTTTCTTTTTGTCTTTTAGTCTGTTTTTTTGTTGTTGTATCCCCAGGGTGTTATAGCACGCCTGGGGCATAGGCTATGTCCTGTATAAAGTAAGTAAATGTTTGAGTGTTACCAGTTTTTTGAAGCCTTGAAACAGAACTCAAGTGAAGATTTAAAATAGAAGCAAACCAGCATTAAAGGATCTTTAAAGCAGTAAAGATGCCATGGTTTGCAACAATAAAGTAATATAGTGATTGGCGACAGTTGTGGTCATCCTTTCCTCAATCCACTACTACCCTTCCAGTTACCACATCTGTTAATTCAGCCTTTGAAGTAACTAGTGGACCTGTCTGTTCCTCTGCTTCTCTACTCCGCCATTTCAGGAGTCCAAGCCACTGTCTACTTAAGCTCATCTTAACCGCTCTACTCTCCTCCTCCAATCCACTTCCCACGTAGGGCAGCCAAAGTGCACTTGTTAACAAGTCAGCATTTTGAAATGCTTATAAGTTGCCTCCCCAGCTTGGAACCCCCTACATGGTTCTCTTGTCCTTGGGACCTAATCCAAAATCCTTGGTGTAACATTTACTACCCTGAACACCGACTGCTATTTGCTTTCCTCTCTCATTAACTTTCACACTCTCTTCTCATCTTGCCAAACATATATTGCTTCAGATCCTTTCACTTGCTATGTCTTTCTTGTGTTGGGGTCTTGAAACTGCCATTTCCTCTCCCTGATATATTATTCTTTTCTTGGGTAATTCTGATTTATCTTTCAAGTCTTAGGCTAAGTACCACTTCCTTAGGGGAGAATGCTTTGCACCTCTAGTTAAAGTCTGGCTCCTTTTATTTTATTCTTGATACTCTTGTTTTCCTTTCAGAACCATATTTATAATGTATAAGCTACAACTTGCAGCTATACATTTGTGTGTGTGTGTGTGTGTGTGTGTGTGTGTGTGTGTGTGTGTGTGTTTAAAATCTGCCCTCACCAGATAGTAAGCTCCAGTAGGTGTGTCTGTTTACTTGTCTGGTGTATGAACCATGCTTAGTGTTTACCTGGCACATAGTAGGTTCTTAGTAATGATTTTAGTGAAAAGTTGAATTTGTCTTTCATGTTGGCAATGTATCAATCTTAAAACATGTTTATTGTCCTCATGTTGAATCTGGGATAGCATTTAATGTTGGGAGAGAGTGGGAATGATTTGTTCCTACTGCCCATTGATTAGCATATTGGGTAGCATAGAACCATGCATGAGAAATGGTGACTGGCCAACCACATGCACTAATACATAAATTTATATTTTGTTTAACAGAAAAACAATATAAAGTGGTATTAGGCAGCTTTTCACTTTATCCAGAACTGGGGAAGAAACTCAAAGCTTAAAAATATAAATTTCCCTGTTTATTGCTTTAGAGTTTATTCAAATTGTTATATACCATGAGTCCTTGCTTAGTAGCTTTTTGGCCAATAGGATTTCAGTATGCAGTACACTAATATAAACAACTGGATTGGCTTAACTACCTCTGATGTCACAATTTCCCCATTAGGAAGTCATAATTTTCTTGAAATCACATTATAGTAATAACAACTCTTGTTATTCTGTTTCATTATAAGAAAGATAATCTACCAAAAATAAAAATGCTGGAAGGAGTAGCATACCTTTGACCGACGCAGACCTTTTTCCATTTGTGCGCTTTAATATCTACTGCCAACAATTGGAGTTAGCTTCTTTGCTTTATAATTGATGTTTTGTTTTTTGTTTGTCAGTTAATAGGCAAATGGAGGAATGAGCCTACTTCAAATTACTCCTTCAACTCATAGTTCTGTTTCATCGCGACTGTTAAGGCTTAGCATCTTTCTACTACTTAGCCTTCCTGACTCTAAAGGAAAAGCCATTTGGACAGCCCACCTGAATATAACCTTTCAGGTGGGAAATCGGATTATATCAGAATTAGGAGAGAGTGGAGTGTTTGGAAATCATTCTCCTTTGGAAAGGGTGTCTGGTGCCTTGGTACTTCCTGAAGGATGGAATCAGAACGCTTGTAATCCTATGACCAACTTCAGCAGACCTGAACAGGCAGACTCTTGGTTGGCCCTCATTGAACGGGGAGGCTGTACTTTTACACACAAAATCAATGTGGCAGCAGAGAAGGGAGCAAATGGGGTGATCATCTATAACTATCCAGGTACTGGCAACAAAGTGTTTCCCATGTCTCACCAGGGAACAGAAAATATAGTCGCGGTGATGATAGGCCACTTGAAAGGCATGGAACTTTTGCACTTGATTCAGAAGGGAGTTTATGTGACGATCATCATTGAAGTGGGGAGAATGCACATGCCATGGCTGAGCCATTATGTCATGTCTCTGTTCACCTTCCTGGCTGCCACAGTTGCCTACCTTTTCTTGTACTGTGCATGGAGACCTCGAGTGCCCAATTCTTCCACCAGGAGGCGAAGACAGATAAAAGCAGATGTGAAGAAAGCTATTGGTCAGCTTCAACTGCGAGTGCTCAAGGAAGGGGATAAGGAACTAGATCCAAATGAAGACAGTTGTGTTGTTTGCTTTGACATATACAAACCCCAAGACGTAGTACGTATTTTAACTTGCAAACATTTTTTCCATAAGGCATGCATTGACCCCTGGCTTTTAGCCCATAGGACATGCCCCATGTGCAAGTGTGACATTCTGAAAACTTAAACCTGGAGAATCTTCTGAAGATGTAAGCGAGTCTTTCCAAAGAAATTACATGAATTCTCTTTTAGCACTTTTATGTAGAGAAAAAACTGAACTTCATCTTCTCTACCTAAGTATTAATGAGGATGAAATTTGTGTGTTTTTAAAATAAAACTCCATATCATGCCCAGGTATTTGAACTTGTTGTTTTTCTATTGGGTTGCTACTTTTTTGCCCTTATCCAAATAAGAAAATTAGTATATGTTAAAAACAAATTAGTCTTCAAATTAAAATGATTGTGACATTGAGGCCACAGAGAGTCGTGATACTTTAAAGTTTCTTTTTTATATTTCCATATTTTTGACATCTAATATCGTTGTTAAATAAATTTCATTACAGAATTAGATCTTGATTTAATTCTCCATGGTTAATTAATACCTGGAAATCTGGTTTCCAAAGTTACTAAGTAATGTGTTCTAGGTAATTATTTTAGATGATAGCACCTCTGGTTATATAACTAAAATATTTTAAATCGTTATAGGCTTCATTTAGGACAGCATCACAAAAAAATCACTTTTGTTTGCCATAGCCCTTTAAATCCTAGCATAGTGAATTAGCTAGGGTGGCAGATTTCCCTTCTAGAAGTGACCGTAGTAAATGCTTTTGTTTTCTTAAAATGGTGATGAGTGTGTCTGTGGGAATTTTGATATAAATCTAGAATGGAGCTGAAATTTTGTTTAATTGCGTTTACAAATTGTATCTTTTGCCTCATTTTGCTTCTCTTCTCGAGTAGATAAAACACCTGTGTATAACAATAAGAGGTTGAAAGATTTGAGTTATGGTTTTGACTAAAATATTTGCGGGTGAAATGCTAAACCGTTGATATCCAACTTAGATGACACTTTGAGTCTACACACTATGTACTACACACTTTCAAGAATGGGTTGTATGGAAATAAAATCAGATGAATGGCCTTTGGGAAAGAAAATGGACCATTGTGAGCTGTAATTTACACGGTAATATTTTCTTTTTATGCTGTTTTGGTTGGGCCTATAGGGTCTTTTTCTCTTCCTTTCCTGCCTCAAATTATTTTGGTTCACATTTCATAAAAAGAACTAGCTCCCTTAGTCCTGGTAAGACCTAACCAAAACGGTCTCTTAGCATCCTCTGTGTAAAGGTCAGACCTTTGTGTTTAAGGTCAAAGTTCTTGGTTTCCTAGCTAGTGGATGAGAACCACTGAGAAATACCCTCAAGAAGGTGTATGGCAGCACCAGGGGTTGGCCACGTTTGTTAGTTCACAAGTCGCTTTGGTCTCAAGTCATTTTGTGACATTGATGTAAGTGTAGCAAAAATAAAGGCAGAGCTGATGACGGTGTGTGTGTGTGCACGCGCACTTGCGTGCACGCGCTCATGCGCGGGTGGGTTCACCAGGGATGTTTGTTGATTTTTGGCAAAGGTTTTGCTCAAAGCATCTATGACCTTTAACACTGCTGTCAGTGGTTAACTCTAAATGGGGAGCTTGACGTTTTTCTTTTTTAAAATCAGTAGCTTCCTTTTTGTTTGAAATGAATTATGCTAAACTAAGACTGCTACATATAATTTTTTTCCTCCTACTCTTCCTTTCTTCCCTCAAAATATTGTTAGATCAGTAGCAGATGCCAAGATCTGCAGAGAAAAGAGTTTAATGTTCTTTACTGCTGTCATCCCTATGGAGAGTCAATGTAAGAGTGAAGAAGTGAAGCTGAAGTAATCTAACAGGATTTAGAAATCAAAATCCTCCTTTTAAAAATCCAAATCAAAACCAGACTGAACCAACCAACCTGAGCAAGCAATTATTAAATAAATTTAGTACAATGGTTTACATGATAAATAAAAAATTTGCACCATGACCAAAATGTGAGTTAAAAGTGGTACTACAGAGCTCACTGCTTTTACCACATAATTATTCATAGTACTAATTTCTAATTATTTAAAACTTGCCATCTTGTTACATGTTTCCTTGATTTATTGTCAAGAAAAATAATTCTGTGGCTTTCTTGCATATGCTTTCAAGTCTTGTATAGGCATGTGTTGTATGATTTTTATATTTAATTTTTTGTTTAAAGTGATACCTGTTAACATGTAGCTCAAGGATTGAATTGATTTTACAATCTAGAAATCACCCCTAACAGTATTTGAAGCATTCAGGCCAGTAAGTTTCCAGCAGGCTCAAAGCTCTTCTCTAATTGGCTGTGTTGTCTTTTATGTCATAATCACATTACCCAACTGTAAACAGTATCTGGAGTTTACATTAGTGAGACTGGGATTTTTTTTTTTTTTTCAATCTAAAGTGTTTCTCTCGCAAATAAAACATCTGAACCTCATAAGACATCTTTAAGAATTTCTTAGAAAAACATGCTGGAAGACAGTGAAACTTGTTTTCACCCGGAAGATTTTTCTCATGTTGTTGTTCTGAATTGATTTTCAGCAGATGTGGAAGCCACATCTTTTTGTTGGGTTGGTACTTCAGTCTCTAGGTGAAGAGAGAGATGAGTCTACTCAGGATTGGCACTCACAGAAACAACACTGCATCTTCCTGGCTTATGAAATTTAGTTTTCTTTGGCTTCTTAGTCAGAACTGTTGCAGAGCTAGTGCTGTTTGGACTGCTTACATGAACATATCCTTTCACGTTCGGAATCGCATGTTGTCAGAGTTGGGGGAAACTGGAGTGTTTGGAAGAAGTTCCACTTTGAAGAGAGTGGCAGGAGTTATCGTGCCACCAGAGGGGAAAACTCAAAATGCGTGTAATCCCAGTACCAGTTTTAGAAGATCAAAGAACTCCGAGACCTGGCTCGCGCTTGTTGAACGGGGAGGTTGTACCTTCACGCAGAAAATTAAGGTAGCTGTTGAGAAGGGAGCCAGTGGAGTGATCATCTACAACTTTCCAGGAACTGGTAATCAGATTTTTCCCATGTCTCATCAGGCCTTTGAAGACATCGTTGTGGTGATGATCGGTAACCTAAAGGGCATGGAGATTTTGCACTTAATTCAGAAGGGAGTTCATGTCACAGTCATAGTTGAGGTGGGGAGAAAACACATCATCTGGATGAATCACTATTTTGTGTCTTTTGTGATTGTCACAACTGCTACTTTAGCATATTTCATCTTTTATCATATTTGGAGACTTTGGGTAGCCAGGATTCAGAACCGGAGATGGCAGCGGTTAACGACCGATCTCAAGAAAGCCTTTGGCCAGCTTCAGCTTCGGGTGCTGAAGGAGGGGGACGAGGAAATCAGTCCGAATGGAGATAGCTGCGTAGTTTGCTTTGAACTCTATAAGCCTAATGATACAGTGCGTATTCTCACTTGTAAACACTTTTTCCACAAGAATTGCATCGACCCCTGGATTCTGGCCCATGGGACCTGTCCTATGTGCAAATGTGACATTCTTAAAGCTTTGGGCATTCAGGTGGATGTTGAAGATGGAAGAGAATCTTTGCAAGTTCTCATGTCGAATGAATTGTCTGGTAACCCCCCTAGTGAAGAGGGGACAAACAACGAACTTCCTCCTGCAGGAGGGTCAGACAAAGTGACCCGTGTGGCGGAGGAGGAGGAACCCTCTGCTCAGAACGACAGCCAGCCTCGTGCAGTAGCGGGAGATGTTCATCCTTCACCTTGACAGCATGACCTTTGAGGAACTGGATTAAACCTGTTTGTCAACTCAAGTCCTAATACTTGACAAGCAGTTGGTTTGTTTGAAGTGTGGTTTTTGTGTCCCTTTCTGTTACTTTGGTAACTGTCTCCATTCTTTGTCAAGCGGAAAAAGGGCCTAGCAGGATTTTTTGTTCCCTTTTTTTTTTTTTTTTTTTTTTTGCCTTTGCTAAATGTTAACTGCTTGTCAGTGTCTGTCATTCCTATGAGTATATATGGCTGTTTCTACATACAGGTGCATGTTAAAATCGAGGACAAATTTTTTCCCCCTAAGTGTTTGTACATATATTGGGCTCTATATTGGTAAGAAAATTGTTAATACATTTGTATGTTCCTTATACAGAAACCATCAGTTAAGTTTGGAAAAGAAAAATTACCTTTTACGTGCTAGGAAGAGTACTTTTTTGAGATTATATATAGTACAATATACTACTTTTGAAGTCATTGTGCTGTGTTTTTTCATTCTTATCATGAAAATTTTGCTGTTCAGAATTTTATTACTCTTGACAAGCAGTCCTTTTCAAGCTATTAGTACCTTTTAATGTGATTTGTATATGCATAATGATAGCAATTTTAAAATAAAAACACTAGCTCTTTTAAATAATTCCGTGCCCAGTATTGCGTATAATTAATACATGTTCATAATTTGTAGAAAGATTTAAATGATAAATCCTCTGTTTAGTTTTTTTCCCATGTGTTCCACCATACTACCCAGTTTGTTTTGCCATTAAGTATTTAAAATATGCTAGGTTATTTTGGAGATAGATATCACAATGTAGATTTATTATGACATCTTGGAATTGTGTTTATTTTGTTCACTGTATTCCCAGGATCTAGCACAGTGCTGGGCACTCAAATACTTTTGGAGTGAAGGAATGAATCAGTACTTTATTCATTATGTAAATATGTGTTAAAAGAAAAACTGGACAGTTTATCCCAATCATACACAATAATGGGAAGTTAATCCTGAAAATTTTCACCCTGAATCACCTTGACAAAATGGAAAACTATGATTTTTTTTTTTTTTTTTTTTTTTTTTTTAAGCCCAGAATCCCTTATTTCAGTTTAGCATGCACAGTTTTAACAAGGACCTTTGAACTCTCCTGAGCTGATAGTGGGGTTTTGGTTCTTGTGCAACACTAGAGAGACATCTATTAGGAGTGGTTTCTTGAGTTTAGGGCTAATACTGGAATTCAGAGACAGGTGGAAGGGCAATAATTGGTTCTAACTATAACACCAAGCAAGACTGAAAGAGGGAGAATCAATCAGCTAAGGCCTGGGCGAATCAGCACACAGCAAAATGCATCCAAGATGACCAGGTTGGGTGGGGGGGTGAAACCTGACTGGGTATGCACAGGCTTTTTTATACCCAATCCTGGAGAGCTTTGACTAAGTTAATCAAAGGAGATGCTCTTTGAAAGAACTGTAGAGCACCCATACTGGGGAGGATTTAGCAAGAATGCTATTTTGAGGATCTTTCTCAATTTATCTGGGAGAATAAAGTTATATTCTGAGGTACTAAGGATCGCATTGAAAAGACAGGACCCTGAGGACCCTTTGAGGGGCTACACCTAGTAGGAGCTGAGGCTAAACCAGGATAAATTGACTTTCTCAGACTGGCCACTGTTAGCATCTCTGCCCCTAGGGCTAGTAGTTCATGGGGGTAGTTAAGGTGGCTTCCACCAGCTGCCCAAGAGATTGTTTGGGGCTATGGAAGTAAATGCATCTGGCAGGGCTGGCAGCCCCTGAATCCAGGTTTTAGAATCATTACCATTCTGTGTCATCCTAGCAAATTAACCTGGGGGGCATGTTCCATGACAGACCCAGAACTTGAGGAATTTGTTGTTTGCTCTTCACACTAACACTGCTCTTGCCTTCTCTTTCAGTCCTTCTCTGCACCCTCATTGGTTTCGTTTCTTTTCTTCGTCGTCGTCAACCTAAAACCTGACTCGTGTATGAAATTAACATTAACTCACTTTTATAATTCAGTGTCTTGTTAATATGGACATTTAACCCAGCGTTTGTTTGTCTCCGTTTGAGAATTTTCAGTGGATGCCCTTTGAAGGGTGTTAGAACCTATGTTCGGGTCAGTGAGCTCGGGAACTGTCATCACTGAGTGCCGACCATGTAGTAGGCGGTGGACTAAGTGCTTTCTATTGCTTTTTCTTATGTCAGAACAAAACAGTTTTAGTTTTTGTCTTTAGAGTGTTGTAAACAGATCAATAAACCACTTTTAGTCTCAATTTAATAACCAGGACCTGGAAATAAGACTGCTATGTCAAATGTAAGGTATTCATTGTAGTAGGTTTTTATCTACTTTTTGGGTTACATCATTTTCTCTTTTCATAGTGATGTAAATAAATTTTGTCATAATGGCATGGCACTATAATATGAAGTATTCTGCCCCTAATACCAATGTCATGATGCATTTCCCTTGCATTTCTTCTTTGTATGTATTTTTGCATTCTCCAGTAGTTTGATTACCCACACTCATCTCTCATAGGGGGTTGATGTTCCTTATAAAAATGCAACTTTTTAAATTCATTACTGGGATAAATTAGATTTAATATTTACTGAAGTGAAAAGGATTCTATTTTTTTTTAAAGATTTTATTTATTTATTTGAGAGAGAATGAGAGAGAGCACGAGAGGGGAGAGGGTCAGAGGGAGAAGCAGACTCCCTGCTGAGCAGGGAGCCTGATGCGGGACTCGATCCCGGGACTCCAGGATCATGACCTGAGCCGAAGGCACTCGCTTACCCAACTGAGCCACCCAGGCGCCCAGTGAAAAGGATTCTAAAGAACTTGACAACTGATTGGGTGATGCAGTAGGTGATTTTATCTATACATTTCCTTGTCTTACAGGACACACTAAACTAAATGTATGCATCCCTGTCTCTTACCATAGACTTACTATAAGGCAATTGTACTATAGAGAGATGTTGGTCAGCCGTAATACTTACCATAGTGTGAGTATTTCCAAGGGTTTAATGAGCTTGGAATCTGGCGTTTCTGATGGTATTTAAGTTTAGTGTATAGTTAGTGTTTTCTCCTTTTACAAACATACTGGTTTTTGAAGTAGCACACAGGAATCCAGTGAGGGGAAAGGATCAGAATTTGGAGAAACACTGATGTAAAAAGAGCAAGCCTTCACATATTGCTACTGTGTGGAGGAATCATGGTGACTGCATATTCTTTACTCCATCATTTACTATGGGTACCAGTTTCTGGATTTTAGAATTTATTTAGCTTTGTATTTAGTGCATGTTTTAAATGTTTAGTGCTCAGTGATGAAGATTAAGGATTATGTGTTATTGCAATAACCAACACAAATATCTTAATATATGCCTGTTTTTCTAAACTACAATAACTTTTTTGGCAGAGGGAATGATGCACCTGAGATGAGTGGCTCCCTGTGTGCACAGGTGTCAGAGCTCTTCATCACATCCCTCCACAAAAACCTCCCTTTTTTATAGACCACCTATAAGCATAACACCTGTCTTCACAATTGTGCTGTCATCTTAGACCTCCAAGATTCAGTGCTCCTTGGTGACTTCAGCTGCTGACATGAATTTTCCTCATTGTTAATGACCAGGGTAGTCCTGATTTCAAAACTTCTCTGAATGTTCATCTCTCAATTCAGTAACAACATTGTTGCCACACGTCGGCTTTTGTCATTTTTGGAAAATTTCCCAGCTAACAGCATCTTTTTCGGAATTCCCTCTCTGAATTTACTTGACCTTTCATTTCTACTCTTTGCTCTTTGTTGTCACTCCAAGCAGGGTTTCCTGCACCCATTCTTTCTCAGCCCATCTCTTTTCCAGCTGCAGCCTAGAACCAACTGTAAGCCGTTTGCTTTACCACATGCCTCTGAATTCCTTGCCTTCTAGACTTCTTTACCAGGACCATTTGTTGGTCCTGAGTCCTCTCTATTGATTTTCACCGGATGTTTACTTCCATTTAAAAATTCTTTATTCTCTTAACTCCTTTTTTAAAATTTCTCATTGATCAGTACTTCTTGGCCTTGTCTGCACATCAGAATCCCTTGGGAAGCTTTTAAAATTCTCAGTGCCCAGGCTGCACCCAGGACCTGTACTCTGGGACTCAGGCATCAGAATTTTTTTTAGTTACCCAGTTGATTCCAATGTGCAGACAAGATTGAGAACTGCTACCCTAAGGCTGTCCCAAAGAGCCTTTACATTAATCAAGTTCTCAATTTCACCTTTTGCTTCTTTCACATTGACTTGTTTTCTCTTTACTCAAAATATTGAGGTAGAAATCTAAACATCAATCATAAGTGGTGATATTTCATGAATAGTAATTGATAAAGGCTTCTGGGAATATGAAGGAATGGATTTCAACTAGAGAAGGGATACTTAGAAGGAAATAACATTTGAAATGGAGCTACCATTTGGGAATGATATGAACAATAATTGTTCCTTTCCCCAAAGAAAGATGTTTATTGGTAATTCAGGCAAAAAAAAAATAATCTAAGAAGAATTTAACCCTGATAAACCGTGGATTCTTAATATTTTTCTTTTACAAGTTTTTATTTAAATTCCAGTTAACATACAGTGTAATATTAGTTTCAAGTGTAGAAGTCAGTGATTCATCGCCTATATACAACACCCAGTGCTGCTCATGACAAGTGCACTTCTTAATCCTCATTGCCCATTTAACCCATCCCCTGGCCCATTCCCCTCTAGCAACTCAGATTGTTCTCCATACTAACAACAGGGTTTTATAAGGAAGTGATGTCCTATAGAACTTTGGTTAAGGAACTCAAAGACCAGGAATTCCAGAGGCTGTTGTAATAATCCAGGAGTGATAAAGACAAAATATGAATAAAAGCAATAGTAGGTGAATCAGGTTAGATAACATGGGTCACCTTCAAGGTAATGTTCTTTGATTTCATTTGCTTATTTGTATTTTCTACCTCTTTTTTTAATGACCAGGGTATCACTGATTTCAAAACTTGTCTATACCCATAACCTTCATCTTCTGTTTACCTCCAGTGTAGCAACACAGTGGATACAGAATGGAAGGGT